CACTTATTTACAAGTTGTAATTCACATGTTAAACATATAATTAACATTATGTTACAATTAACAAACAACTATCCAAAGTAAGGTTCCCCTAATTACCTCAAACTTTTGAGAGATCAAATGTTTACCTTTCAATATTCTAGGCTTCCAAGCTTGATTTTTCAAGCCACAATAGTATCCAAGAGCTTAATCTACAATTAACTAAGTTATCCTTCATTAACATTATTAAGAGCACACTATCAACTCATACTTTTACTTTTCCATTTTCCTAACAATATCAATTTCACCATTTAGGTTTACCCATTAGGTTTACAAACTCTCTTTAGTTTCTAATAATATTACTGAGCTATTAAACTCTTATTAGTGGCATTATAACTCTTCTAACCACCCTCATTAATGTCATTTTTAGATATTAATGGGGTATAACAACCAAAAGTCCCAAAACCCATTATTTCTAGGTTTAAATACTCTATTCTACTTCTATTAGCTCTATTTGAGATGATGAATTTGGACCCATAACCTATATGGACCGAACATCATCTCTCACCATCAAACCCTAACCACAAATTTCGTAAATGTGGGAGAGATTAGAAGAAATGGGGTTTAGGGCACTTACTTCAAGTGTTTCTAGTTTCAAAAGGCTCCCAATGTCATCTAAGAATAAACCCTAACAGAGCTAAATCATCCTCCTCATTTTCTCCTTTCTCTTCTTTATGTTTTTGCCTCGATTCACAAGTTATAATATGCAAAAAATGGCCATATGCCATGGTTGATGCTGAATGCACCACGGCGTATGGCATAAAAAGGTCCCTTTCTCACTCTAGTTATGTCTATGCGCCACGACAGACGTATTTCACATTGCAGCGTGTGGCATAGAAACACTCCTTTCTTGTTTTCTTTCCTTTTTGATGCCTAGGTGGCCTGACTTCACACTAGACCTATAATTAGGGCTGAAACATAACTAAATACTATCATTAGACCTCATTAGCCACACACCACGTCAATTTACTTAATTATCATAATTAAGTTTAATTAATCAGGGGATTAAAATTTGGAATGTTACAATTATCATCTTTACGCTTTGAATGATACAAAAAATACTCCTATCCCAAAGATTGATAGGCCAGAATTTGTCTCACATTTTAGACCTATAAGCCTTTGTAACTTGTCATACAATGTCATTTCAAAAATTCTAGCTAATTGGATGAAGCCTTATTTGAATATGTGCATTTCACCCAACTAAGGTGCCTTTGTTCTTAAGAGGTTTATTCATGATAATGTAATCATTGCTTATGAGGTTTATCACTATCTGAGAAGAAAAAAAACTAGTAAAAAATATGACTTTGCTCCCAAGGTAGATATGAGTAAGGTGTAGGATAGGGTTGAATGGGATTTCCTAAGACCGGTTCTTTTGAGATTTGGCTTTTGTTGTAAGGTCAATTTAATCATGAATTTGTTGAATTTGTTCAGTTGAATCTTTATCTTTTAAAGTCTAAAGTTGCTTCCATTACACCAAGAAAGGGGTTGAGACAGGGGGGATCCATTATCCTTGTATTTATTTATCCTAGTCTCTGAGGTACTATCCATTTTGATCTACAAATAGAAAAGTGTGTAGAAGCTCAAAGGTATTAAAACGAGTAGACAATGCCCTAAAGTCACACAATTTTTTTTGCCAACAATGCCTTTTTCTTTATGAATGTAGAAGAAGGTAATTATAGAGTTGTTGCTGCCATTTTGAATACCTATTGTAAAGCATCTGGTCAAATTGTTAATTTAGATAAATTTACCATTATTTTCTTTAAAAATACCTATACTTATATTACAAATGAGGTTTGCTTTATCTTTGGAATTGCGGCTGCTAGTGATCAGGGGAAGTATTTAGGCATTCCAAACATCTAAAATAAAGCATCAAGCTTTGGCCTATGTTAAAGAAAAAGCAAGTAAGAAGGTATTTGATTGGGGGAGAAGACATCTTTCTCAAGCTAGTAGAGAAGTAATGATCAAAGCTGTGATCAATGCCATTCCTGTATATCTAATAACATGTCTTAAGTTTTCAATTAAGACATGTAAGGATCTTGACAGCTTGATTTCAAATTTTTAGTGGAATAGTAGTAATTCTAGTAATAAAACACATTAGATTGCTTAGCCAGATCTTATTAAACTTAAGCTAGAATGTAGTTTGGGTTTTAAAGGCGTTTGTTAATTTTATAAGGTTTTTCTAGGAAAAACTGTTTAGCATCTTTTAATAGTGCAAATGAACTTATGGCGAGAGTTGTGAAAGGAATTTATTTTCTAGTAAACATTTTCTTAATACGAAGAAAGGTGGAAAGGCTTCTTAGTATTGATCTAGTATTATCAAAGGCCATAACTTTCTTAAAACTAATCTTTATTGGTAGGTTGGTGATGGTAGGATAGCACAAATCTAGAAGGATCAATGAATCCCATCTCTCCCCTCTGTGAATTTATATATAAATGATCTTGAGTTAAAAAAATTAGATGATATTATTGCTAATCTCATTGATAATTGACAATGGAATGTTTTTAGAACGAGGCATTTGATTGATGAAAACTCAGTTAATGCAATTGAGAACATACTCTCTTAAGGATGGAATCTAAAGACAAGCTGTTCTGGGATGTGGCAACCTATGGCATATATGCCGTTAAACTAGCTTATACATATCTTATGCAAAAGAAGTAGTTGACAAGGAGAAGGTAATTGCATCTTTTTATATTCCCACATCTACTTAGGAAGCTTTATGAAAAGTCAAACTATTCCTCGCATTAGTCATTTTATATGGCAAAGCCTTTTAAAGGCCATTGCTACTAGGCCTATACATAAGTAGGGTTGGGTAAGGCTGACCCTTAGCTTGTTACCTTGCCCTAATTCTCTTCGGGCAAAAATACCTTGCCTAAAGCCAGAACCTACCTAAAAGATACTCATTAATGTTAGGGTCAAGTGAGCAGGGTCAGGCAAAGATCGGGTAAAGATCAGGCAAATCAAGCTGAATGTCTAATCCTATCTCTCTATTTTTTTGAGACATCTGAAAGCTTGTTTGTTATACTTGAACAACATTTTGGGCTTCTAGCAGCAATATAGCTAATTCAAACATTCTGGGCTTAAATTAGCCCTTTAAAAAAGACATTTTCAAATAGCAATTTCTGGTCCAAAAACCTGAAAATAAATATGAACAAAGGCAATTTAATATGGAATCAAAGAAAACTAAATATATCCATAATCTACAACGCATAAACGAGATGAATACATTGATCCATTAGCCATTATCCAAAATAAAGGCTTGATTTTTATGCTTTTTATTTAATGAAATTTCCTTGAGAATGAATGAAGAAACACCCAAATATAGAACCCCCACGCACTGCTTCCTTGCCTAAATTTGATATCAAATTCTAGCAACTTGCAAGTCGTAACCCATAATACTTTCATCATTATCATCATCATCATCATCTTCTTCTTCAAGTTTTAGAGAGAGATAGAGAAACAAAGAGAGAGAGAAAGTTAAATTAATACCTTTTTGATATGAGTAGCAATCATCAACAACATTAAAGAGATCCAAAGCCTTAGATGTAGAGGCCATGACTTGGATTTGCATCTTCACATTTCATAGGTGAAACTTATTGAGATTACGAGATGGATGATAATGAAGCTCTTTAAACAAGTGAAACTCTCACAGTCTTACTCACAATGGATGAAGGCGACGGAGGGAGGAACAACGAATGAAATCAACAGAGGGAGGAACAACGTTGCCAAGTGCCGACAACTAATGAAGTGAGACGTAGGGGTGGCACCATGGAGGAAAGGAGATGGAAATTGAGGAAAGGAGAGGAGACAAGCCATCTACTGTGAATGTAAGTGAGGACTGAGGAAGGGCGCGTAGGGTTTCATTGCCAACTAATAAAAAATATTACCACTATGACCCATGCTTCCTCAAAACTACATCATTTTAATTTAATATATATATATATATATATATTCCCTTGGGTCGGGTAAGGCTGACTGGTTTGACAGCTCAGCCCTAAACCCTGCCTAACCCAAGGTTCAAGCACTGCTTGACCATGCCCATTTGCTTTTGGGCAGTTTTTTCTAGGCACGAGTTAGGCAAAAAATCATCGGGTCGGATTAGGCATGTCAAGCTTGTTACACAGCCCTAATTGCTAGGAATGAAGCTTTGGTTTGAAGACACAGATAATATGCCAATTTTTGCTCAGTGTGTGATCTTGAGGTTGAAACAATGTAACACCTCTTCTCTTTGTGTCCCTGGACTTGGTGTGTTTGGTTCAGATGTGATTTGTCTTTGCTATTTGATGCCCGTAATGTTACAAGCTAGTAGCTTTTTAACATAATTAGAAATTTACTAAGATAATAAAAATTCACAATTTTTTTTAATAAAAAATCAGTGATTTTCCTAAAACAACCTGAAACAAAAAAGTCCATAAGAAACAAAAACATTGTGTGGCCGGCAAAAATGGAATACAAAGATTGAACGTATTCTTTAACTCCTATCTTATCGTTATTCATCACCCCCTGAATATAAGGAGGAGATAATCCCAGGTGCAGCATGTATTAGATATATGATGAGGTAATTAAATTTAACACTACTTTATTAGCTTTAGCTTGTTATCATTTTTCGTATTAGTCATTATGCCATCATTTACTACATTTTAATTTAACGAATTACGTGTGTATATTTTCTTTCTCGTTTATCCATTGCATCCTAACTTTTTTTTTTTTTTTTTAAAGCCAATCCATTGCATCCTAACCAACAATTATGATTCACTCAACAAAAGTTTTGTCTTCATACTTTTCCCGGGACATCTTTTCGGCTTTGGCCTTTTGGCTCTCACACGTTATTTACTTACGTCAGTTACGTTGGCCAAAAAATTGATGTTTCTTTATCCTTATCACACAAAAAGAATCATATATATAAAAAATCATCATTATCCCGTTGAAATGCATATACTTGGAAAGAAGTAGAAAAATTGTCATTGACGAAAAAGAAAAAGAAAAAAAGAAAACGTTCATCAATCTCGAGGGAAATTATTGGAAAGATATTTATCGGTTTCATATTAAAATTGTCGGTCCACCCTCCTACTTATTCGTGATCCAAATTTGCTTTCTGCAACCTCGTGTTCTTGCAAAAAACGATCATGTCGACCGTTAGCTTGAAGCCACTGTTCTGTCCTAGCCGTAGACAAACTTTAGTCAATCGTAAGCCTTGCTTTGTGAATTGCTCTTCGAAGTTTGTCGTCTCCGATGTCAAACGGTTCTGCAACTTCCGTTCAACCTATAGTTCTCCGTCTCAAACTGTTGCAGCTGCATCTACAGATACAGCTACACTTGAGTCATTTCAATCAGCTGCTGTATTCTTCGACGAAACTTTTCCAATCAGCCGAACTGATAAGGTCTTCCTCGAAACCTTTCAGCAATTTTCCTTGTCTGGTTCGGACGAAGTGAAGGGGAAATGTTTTATTTCCATAATCTTAACTATTGCCTTTCCCCCCGCTCCTATAAAAAAAAAAGGCAAAACGAGGAACTTTTGGGCGCTTTTTTCTCTTTTCTTTTCTTTTTTGGTTAAAAAATTTGAATAAGCTCAATTGAATTTTGTTAACTTTTGGAGTCATTGGCTATTCTTTTGTTTCGCCCCGTTTTCTGACGAGTCGAACTAAAGTCGTCTTTATTTGTTTTGATTCCTCATCAATGATTTAGCATATCTCAGTGTCAAGCATTGGTAAAATTATTGTTAATAGATAAGGTGAATCTGCAGTTAGAGGGAAAGATCTATGTAAGATTAGAGCAGCGAAAGGATTTGAATGATTGGGAGCTTACGGTAGGTTGCAGTGTACCCGGAAAATGGATTCTTCATTGGGGAGTTTCCTTTGTTGATGACGTCGGAAGGTATGATAATTGATGTGTCAAGCGCTTGAAATTGTTTTTTGGGATAATAGAACTTAGGTTCCAAAATATTAAATTAATGACAGCTAGATCTTGGATAAAATTTTCTAAGAAAAAAGAGATTTGTAAATTTAGAAGTTTTAATTACAGATAAGCATTTAATATTCAGATGTAACTCTCTTATTATAACTCGGATAACTATTTGAATCATATTTGCGATTCATTTTTTAGAAAATTTTTGACAGGTACCTAATTGTTATTAATTTAATTTTTTGGGACCTACCTATCATTCCCCCCTTTGTCCCCATTTTATCTTGTGATTTTACTTCATAGCCACAATACTCACCAAATCTTAATATCAATTGACGAGTTAATTTTTAGTTCTAATTATGAATGATCAAATTATGTCATGGTGATTTAAACTTGGTTTTGTAGTGAGTGGGATCAACCTCCTCGTGATATGATACCCCCTGGTTCTGTTCCTATCAAGGTATGCAACGGCTTTCTCATGATCATTTATGGCACCCATTTATTGTAGGCATGCGGAAAGTTTGAGTTGGAAGTAAATATTTCGAATTTCAGGACCATGCAATAGAGACACCCATGAAGACACCACCATCAACTTCTGAAGGAGATACATTCCATGAAGTCAGGATTGATATTAAACCCAACAACCAGATTTCAGCAATTAATTTTGTTCTGAAGGTTTATTTTCGATAATTAGCAGTTCAGGATGTTAGTTTTTAGTATAATACATATGAATGCTCTGTGATCCTTATGGTTAAATCATTTCCTTACCCATTACGAGTGGTCTTGTTGATGCAGGATGAGGAAACCGGAGCTTGGTATCAACATAAAGGAAGGGACTTTAAGGTTCCTCTTATCAGCTGCCTCAAGGAGGATGCTAATATAATTGGTCCTAAAAGGGGATTTAGTTTATGGCCAGGTATGTGTAATGATCATGTATCTTGATTTATTTACTTCTTCAATGCTTTCTAATTTGTCTTGCATTTAAAATTTAATTAATGAATTGTTTTTTGATCTTTAATTGAGTTTTATTGAGTATTGTGTAGATCCTTGGAAAGAGTCCTTTTTTTTTTTTATTCCTGTTTGTGTGTATTGCCATAAATATCTTTGATGATTTCTTATGTTAGAGAATATTCTGTGTTGATTGTAATTAGTATAGAATCATATTATATATATAATTATATAATTATATAATTAGTATAAAATCATATATTTGGCAATTTGGTTTATTTTTATTAGAATTTACTATAAAGGAGCCTCCTGTTTTTATAAATAAGCTCTCATCGCATTGTTCTTGATACAAGAAAGTTTTTTTCTCTTTCTTTGATTCACATCTTGAGAAGATGCATGTTAGCAAGCAGTGGCCAAGTGAATGGCCATTAATTATTATGTCAAAGGGAGAAGGGAGCACCCTTGAAAATGTAACTTAATTTCATAGTATTCCTGCCCAACTATAGAGAAAAGTAGGCTTCTGAAAGTAAAATGCTTTGGCTCCTTAGTTCTTAATTGCTGATATGACATCATTGAAATTTCAGAGAGATGAAGAGAGAAAATGTAATGTGTGCTATTCAGATCTGCCAACATATATATATATATATAGAATATCCAGAGAATAAAATAAAAGTAAATTATAATTGTCAACACTTTCCCTCAAGCTAGTGTGTATAGATCATATGCACCAAGCTTGTTACAAATGTACTTTATTCAAGGTCTTCAAAGAGCTTTTGTTAATATGTCTGTTGGTTGATCATTGGAGCTAACATATTTCGTAGCAAGACATTCTAATTGAATCTTTTCTCGCACAAAATGACAATCTATCTCAATGTGTTTAGTTCTCTCATGAAACATTGGATTTGAGGCTATATGCATTGCAGCTTGATTGTCACAGATCAAGTCCATTCTTGTAATATTCCCATATTTTAATTCCTGAAGATGCTATTTTAACCAGATAAGTTCACATGTAGCTAAGGTCATGGCACAATATTTAGCTTTAGCACTAGACCTAGCAACAACATTTTGTTTCTTACTCTTTCAAGAAATTAGATTTCCACCAATAAACATATAATACCCTGAAGTAGAGTGTTGATCAATTGGTCATCTAGCTTAGTCCGCATCACTATACCTAACAATCTAAGTATCATCTTGGGAATCATCCTTATCACTATAACCATAGCCAATTATTTGAGAATTCCCCTTGTCTTCATATAAGAGTCCTTGACCTGGGGAACCCTTAATGTATCTAAGAATTTGAACTGCAGCTTCCTAGTGGCTATCACATGGAGATTCAAAAAATGACTTACCACACTTACAGGTAAAGAGATACCACGATGAGTAAAAGTGAGGTGATTGAACTTTTCAACCAATCTCCAATATCTTTCTGGGTTTGCAAGAGGCTCCCCCTGTCCTGGTAGAAGTTTGACATTTGGATCCATAAGAGTATTAATCGGTAGACAATCCAACATCCTTGTCTCTTTCAAAATACCAAGAGCACACTTTTGTTGTGATATATCAACTCCAACTGATGATTGAGATACCTCATTGCCCAAAAAATACTTGAGTTTACCCAAATCGTTTGTTTGAAAGAATTTCATTAAATGATTTTTGAGTCTAGAGATCCCATCCTGATCATTTCCAATAGCAATGTCATCCGCATAAACAACCAGAGAAATGCATTGCAAGTTGGTGAGTGATGATAGAATATAGAGTGATCTATAGCACTATGGATCGTTCTATACTCTTGAAGAATCATATTGAACCTGCTAAACCATACTTGAGGAGATTGTTTTAGTATAGAACTCTTGAAGAATCATATTGAACCTGCTAAACCATACTTAAGGAGATTGTTTTAGTCCATAAAGGGTTTTAACGCAATCTACAAATGTTCCCAAACCCCTCTTAAGCAACAAAACTAGGAGGTTGCTCCATATACACTTCTTCTTTTAGATCACCATGGAGAAAAGCATTTTTGATATTAAGCTGATAAAGAGTCTAATGATTGATGGCGGCAAGGACCAAGGGTAAGCGAACAGGTGCAATTTCAGCAACTGGTGAAAAAGTGTCATCATAGTCAAGGCCAAAGATCTAGGTATAGCCCTTGGCAACTAATCGGGCTTTTGACTGAACAATAAAACCATCAAGAGCAAACTTGATAGTAAACACCCATCTGCAACCAACCAAAGATTTTCCAAGAGGTAAAGTAACTAAATCCCAAGTATGATTAGTGTAGAGAGCAGACATCTCATCAACCATTGCTTATTGCCATCCAGGATGGGAAAGTGCCTCATTGACATTCTTAGGAATGGTAACAGAATCCAAAGTAGACACAAAAGCAGTATGTGATGGAGACAGGCAATGATTGCTCAAAGAATTGTAAATAGGATGGGGATTATGAGTAGAATGAGTACCCTTATGAAGAGCAATAGGAGCATCATCAAAGGGATGTACAATTTGAGTAGGAGCCGTTGCTAGAGTGGGGGACAAGTCCACAGGTATATCACTAGGGTCCGCTGAAGAGGAAGGATGAGACCAACAGTGGTATGTTTGGATGATAGGTGGTTTATCTATCGTGGGTGGATCAAGGTAAGGAAGAGGAAAGACCTTAGACATAGATTGTTCAAACTCGGAGGAGAGAAAATAAGGAGAGGTCTTAAAGAAAGTGACATCAGTAAAGGTAATGTACTTGTTAGTATAGTTAGTGATAGGAGGAAAACACGTTTAAAAAGAGCATTAGCTCATTTGTTGATATGACTAGGAAACAAAGACCCAATTTGTTTTCCAAGTTTGACATGACTCACAATCAAGAGACTTTAAAGCTGAAAGAAAGGGAACCATCTTTTGAAGTTTGGAAAGACAAGGGCGGCCAAGATGACTATGAGCAAGGTTTGGTGGGATAGTATTGTAGGCAGCTAGTGATATGGTAGATGTAAAATAGTAAAGTCCCTGGGACTCATGCTCGACTCTAATCATCCAACCCATACTCTAATCTTGCAAAATGACATAGAAAGAAAGCATGAGTGAGTTGACCAATAGAAGCAAGATTGTAAGGATACTTAAGAACATAAAAGATAGATTGTAAATTAATAGGAGAAATGGAGGCTTGGTCAGTTCCTTTAATTGTAGTAGAAGATCCACTAGTTGTATTAATGGCTTGAAGAGAGACTAAATTACTAAAATGAGATAAGAGATTCTTATTACTAGACATATGAGAGGAAGCACTTGAGTCAATAACCCATAGTCCAAGAGAAGAATGAACAAGACAAGCAATAGAATTACCAATTTGAGCAACAGAGGCAACATGAGATGATATCTTATTAGCCTAGAATTGGAGATACTCTTCATAGTTAGCTCCTTTCAAGGTAATGGAATTAGATGGCTGCTTATCAGTATGAGTAAAGAATGCATACGAGTGTTGCTTAGAAGTCTGAGCAACATTGGTAGTTTGAGAAGGTCGCGCATGAAGATTGTAGCAATGGTCTTGAGTATGTCCCAACTTGTTGTAATAAGTATAGTGAGGGCGTTTTCAAGGAGCACTATGTCTACCTCCGCCACAAGTAGAGTTATGAGAAATTAGAATAGAAGCAGCAAGTTTGAGAGGAGCCACAGTATTAAGAGAGACTCGAACAATTCGTGCAAGGACACCATCTAGAGTAGGAATCGATGATCCACCAAGAATTTGATCCTCAAGATGACTAAGAGAAGGATGAAGATAGTATAAAGTAAGAACCTTGAATAGTTTGTCCTACTCTTTTTCTTGGACTTCAAAAGTAGTAAGCATTAGAGAACAAAATTCTTGGCGAAGAGGCTCAATATGGCTGACATAAGTAGTATCATCCACGTCCTCTTGTTTTAAACTAACAAGAGAGGTAATCACATCGTAATAGAGATGGATATCATTACTGTATAAAGTGGCAGCCTTACTCCATACATCAAAGTAGGTCTTAAACGATTGGTATAAAGGAAGTAACTCGGGATCAATGGAATTCTATAGCAGTGAACACAGCTGAGCATCAATTTTAATCCATGCAGGTTGCTAATCTTCAAGAATATCAGCTTCTCGCTTGGTCAAATGATCCAAGCATCCTTGTCCCTTGAACCAAAGGCAAACAGAGGCAGCCCAAGACTTATAATTCGAAGGCCCTCTTAATTTTTTAGTGGTGATGGTAGAAGTGCCACTCAAAACAGAGGTAATAGCACTAGATTTGGAGTCCGACAAAGTCATCTTTGAAGAAATAGACCAAAAAAAGAGTTGAAGGAAAGATGAAAAATGCAACGGAGTGGAACATAGACATACATACCTTGGGATCAAAAGGAGACAACCATGGCAAGCATGACGAAGCAAAGGGTAGCAAAACGCACCTTCACATGCCAGTGAGGTGGAACTATGCAGAAAAGTAAGGGTAGCGTGTGGGAGCACGTGTGATGGCAGATGGTGATGAACCTCTGGGGACCGATCGATAGCCTCTGAACATGGTGGTAGTGCATGTGTCTTGACCGGAGTTTAAATGGCGATGGGTCAAAACAGGAATCAGACGCACGGAGGAGGAGGATGAACATTATTCTAGAGAAAAGAAATTCAAAACCGAGGCTTTGGTACCATGAAATTTTAGAGAGATGGAGAGAGAAAATGTAATGTGTGTTATTCAGATTTGCTAACATATATAGAATGTACGAGGAATAAAATAAAAGTAAATTGTAATTTTCAACAATTATGATGATACCAATCATGCTGATCACTATTGTATTAAAGGATTTAAGTCTTGATTATATCCTACAAGGACCCTTTATCTATTCCATTCCATGTGCAGATACAATATCAAATATTGTGCTGCATTGTTGTTAAAACATGACTAGAGTGGCAAATCGGGTGTGTGGCCAGTCCAGTTTTGCATTTGAATGTGTCACCAGTTGACTCAGTTGACTTGGATCAACCCCCCCAACCCCACGGGTTAGACAGGTTAGGCGGATTGAATTTTTAGGGATAGAAAAAAAATTATTGGAACGCAAAAGCCTTACACTTTTTCATTTCTTTCATCTTCCTCTCCAATTCTACAATCTTCCTCTCTTCGTGCTCAGTCTCTTTTCACTCACTTGATTTCTTCTCGCCTCTCATCTTGTGGTCCACTTGTCCCTGACCAATGACCATTGTAGCACTACTCTTCCGTCGTCCTTGAGTAGTGAGCTCTCTTTGAGCAGTCAAGCTCTATGGGTTTGTGGGTGTCACTCTAACTAGTGACCTTCATCTGTCTGTATGCCTCCACGAAGAAGGAGAAGCGGTAATGAGAAGATAGAAGAGAGATATATGAATCAAAGAAGAAAAGAACGGAGGCATGAGTAAGAGGTGAGTAAGAGGCTTTGAGAATAAGAGAGTAGAAGTTTCAAAAGTTGAGTAGAAAAGACAAAAAATAAAATATAATTGCAAAACCCAACAGATACATTTATGTTCTCCTGGAAAATGTTTTGATGCCTTCTTTTGCAAAAATATTAATGTACATCAAACATGATAAACAGCTAGTAGCAGTCACCCTATTTAACTCTATTAATAGGTAGTTGATGTTCTTTCTTTTTAGCCAACATAGGCAGCTAATGTTCAACATGTATTTAACTTTCATAGATATACATATATATATTACTCCCTCCATTTCTATTTGTAAGAGAAACTACTACTCTTTACTTAGTTTTTTATATAAGCAAAATCAACTGTTTCAATAAGCATTTATTACACATTTCCTAAATCACCTCTCATAATTTACAGTTGCAAGAAAAAATTAATGCATGCTTATGTTGATTAATATAGATTATTTTAGTCCAATTGTTTTATTTTCAGATATAGTTATTATAGTTAACTAACTTTCTTAAACTGTGTAAGATAGTTTTTTTCTCTTATATATGGAAACAGAGGGAGTACTTTTTTATGAGTATTTAGATTTCATATAAATATTGGTGATATGTTATATGATATGTTAAGTCTTAAATATGAATGAATATTTTAAGAATTAATGTATTTTTATTTAAATTATATTATTTTATTATGACCGGTTTGACCCCCAATTGAACCTTGACCCTTGACCTTGACCGATTTAATCACCTGGTTTTTAGTACCTTGTTGTGCTATGACCTACCATTTGGAAAGCTCATTCACCGTGAATGTAATAGGCACAAAGGAAAAGGATGTTGTCATGTATATTTATTTTTTATACAACAACAACAACAACAACAAGCCTTTATCCCACTAGGTGGGGTCGGCTACATGGATTGCAAGACGCCATTGTGCTCTATCATTTATTAAGCTTTTAGAAATATTATTAATTAAGAGATCACGTTCAACAAATGTATATTTATTTTTTATAATGCTTAATTTATCCCTTGAGCTGTGTCCTAGCACCAATTTTTGGTGAATGAACTGAGACATGATTCATGGTATATGCTGACTTAAAGGGGCCTTGGGGAGGTTATCTGATATGCTCCTGAAATCAGATTCAACACATTATGAAGGTCAAGAGAAGAGAAGCCAATCTAGAGTTCCTGAACAAGAAAGCCATCAACCAGAAGGTTTCTATGTAGAACTTCCGGTTATAAAAGAGGTTCCTGTCAATAACTCCATGAGCATCTCTGTCAGAAAGTGCTCTGAGACAGCTAAGAATATTTTATATTTAGAAACAGATCTTCCTGGAGATATTGTCCTTCATTGGGGGGTTTGCAGGGATGATGCTAGAAAGTGGGAAGTTCCACCTGCTCCTCATCCACCAGAAACAGCAGTATTTAAAGACAGGGCTCTGAGAACTAAATTTCAGGTACAGACCTTGCAAGTTTTTCTCCCTCTCGTGTTTTATGACTCAAGAGTTGAAGCAATTCATTAAAGTTCTTTTTAAATTTGTCACACAAATACTTTCTTGTGGGACCGGTATTGAATTTTCAGTTGTACTGTATCATTAAATTATTGTCTTATTCAACCTTAAAATCTTGACTGTATGCTTTTCTGTCTTAAACTATAGGTCTTGGATGTACCTGTGTCTTCTTGCCATAGATTCAGACAAACTATTTTATTTTTTGGGTGATGTAATCCATTGTGCTATGTTCTGTATATAAAGTTCATCTTCATTGAAGGGTAGATTTTTTCCCCCTTTGGGGTTAAATTTCTCTCTAACTGGGACTCAAACTTATTTCCTTTTCTGGAGATAAGTCCAGTACCATTAGATTGTAGATAATTTACTGTATTCAAATGTGTGCCACAAAAGTGGTGCATATTATTATTATCCTCCACATCCTCCCACTCCCCTTTTCATCAATGTTTTATAATGATGCTGTTTCTTATTAAATACTGATGTAAGTTTATGTGTCTTAATGAATGTATCTAGAATTAGATTGTGTGGTATCTAACAATCTTTTGTTATAGATACTTAATTCTATCCGCTTTTCACTTCTTTTTTCCTGAAACTGAAAATTTGAGCTTCAGTTAATTACTTGCCAATCCTCTTCTGCAGCCAAGCGAAAATGGAAGATATTCAGTACTAATTACCTTGGGGGAAGAATTTTCAGGGTTTCTTTATGTGCTTAAGCTAAATGAAAATAGTTGGTTAAATTCAAAGGGGGATGATTTTTTTGTTCCTCTTTCAAATTCTAGTGGATTATGTATTGAAAAGAGAGTTGATCAGTTAGAAGGCATGCAGAGAGAAGCAAAAGAAGATGCAAGTGAAAAGGCTTCTACCTCTGCATACACTGATGAAATAATCAACGAAATAAGGAATTTGGTGACAGGCATCTCCTCTGAGAGGAGTCAAAAGACAAAAACCAAAGAAGCACAAGAAAGCATTCTTCAAGAAATTGAACGACTTGCTGCTGAAGCCTATAGTATCTTCAGAAGCTCTGTTCCAACCTTTCCAGGGGAAACTATGGTGGAATCTGAGGTTGCTGTGGAATCAGAAACCCTGATACCACCTCCAAAAATATGCTCAGGAACAGGCACAGGGTATGAAATACTATGCCAAGGGTTTAACTGGGAATCTCATAAATCAAGAAGATGGTACAAGGAGCTGGAAGGGAAAGCTGCAGAGCTTGCATCCCTTGGTTTTACTGTAGTTTGGTTACCGCCACCTACAGAATCTGTTTCACCAGAAGGATACATGCCGAAGGATTTGTATAATTTGAATTCCAGGTATTGAGTTAATATGTTGTTAGTACTCTTTGTAGTTATTGATGGCAACTATCTTTTAATTTTTCAATTGAGGGTTCAGTGTTGGACAATTTGCTTGCAGAATGCATATGCTCTATGCTTGAATTTCAAATGTTTTAGTTCATCATTTGTCACTCACTTGGATGGAAACAATACCCCTTCAATATTTGATTTAGTAAAATGAGGGAAGGAAAAAAAAAATTTAAAGAAGCTTTATACATATTCATGAAAATCACTCTCTGCGTATGGCATGTGACTGTTTTATTACATATATCAGATATGGAAGCATTGATGAACTGAAGGATTTAGTGAAAAGATTTCATGAAGTTGGGATCAGAGTTCTTGGAGATGCTGTTTTAAATCACCGCTGTGCCCACTATAAGAATCAGAATGGCATTTGGAACATATTTGGAGGTCGTCTAAACTGGGATGATCGGGCTGTTGTTTCTGATGATCCACATTTTCAGGTTTGTTTGTGATGGTTTTGGATACTTTGATTTTCATCCCTTTCACAGTTTTAGCATTCATCTTGACATAGAATAAGTAATTTAAAAGTTCATTACCTTTTCTATTCTATCAGCCACGGAGCTAGTTGCTCTTCTGTTCAGTATCAATGCCTTCTTGCTTTTGTCCACAATTAGCTGAATTGAATTTCCTTTCTCAAATCGAGTATTGATGAAATTAATACTCATAACATGCTTTCAGGAGAAGATATATTAAGTTCTCATTTTCCTATTCCCTAAAAAGTTGCACGCATTTGGAAAATACTTAGTGAAGTGTAGTTCTTTTCCAAGTGCCTCTTAACTCTAATGTTTCAGTCAAAACGGAGGCATGTTGCATCAATATGAATAATGCTTTCAAACTACTTTCAAATTAATCATAATTGTACTTTGTACAATGCATTGAATAAAATTGGAGGAATTTGTTTTCTTATGCCTAGATGACCATTAGCAACTGTCTGACATGTTAGGCGGGCTTCATTATAAACTTTATTATACAAAATTGAGACAACTAGAAGTACTATAAGTATCTTTTTCATTTCAGAACTCAATATGATATGCTTGATCTCTTCTATAAACATCTATGCTTTTGTTGTTAATGTGAATACTTTGATACTTTTATCTTTCTGGGTACATATGGAATATATAACGGATGTCCTATTTTCCATACAGGGTAGGGGAAACAAGAGTAGCGGAGACAATTTCCATGCTGCTCCAAACATTGATCATTCACAGGAATTTGTGAGAAAGGATCTAAAAGAATGGTTATGCTGGTTGAGGTTGATATTTCAGATCCTAATTTTCAATATCTTGCTTAAATACTTTGGGATTCTCCTTCCTATCCATTAGGACAAATTGTTATGTATTAGAGGAAATGTACCCAATGAGTTCCTAAGTAGGTTATTAAGTACAATTTTCTGGTACCCAATACTACCATGTTAGATTTGAGCATTGTATATCCTAATTGGAGGTAGCTCTTCTACTGTGATTTGTTCTATAGACAAGGTTTAAACCTGCCACCTTGCCTAAGAGGAATCAAGTTCCTTCAGATTGATCCAACCATTGTTGGTTAAGTAGATTATAAAAATTCTAATGATATCTTATTAAGAGTTTTGGTTTTATTGCCAACATGGCTTTGGTGGATACTTAAGACAATCTTCCATGTGTTACATCAATTGAGGTTAAAACAGTCTTCTAAATTTTAGTAAAGTTCATGTTAAAAACTTCACATTTTATACTTGAATATGGATATCAATGGGATATGATGGAGCAAATACCAAAATGTGGCTCAACACATAAGAAAAAGTAGAAGAAGGAACTCTATGTTTGACATACTTTGCCTACAAAGTTGCAAGCAGCTAATCTTTTGACTAAAGGGTTACTTAGACCTACATTTGATAATTGCATAAGCAAGTTAGGCATGATTAACATTTATGATCTAACTTTAGTGGGAGTTTGAGAATATTTGATATTTATTGTAAATATTGCCTTTTAGTGTATAGCCTTTATTAGTATTTATTAGGATTTTTTAGTTATTATTTTCCCTGTTGTATATATATTCAATATGTATCTCAGTATTGAAATGAATGAGAACACATTTTCTCTCACAAAATCCCACAGGATGTGATGGACCTAATGGGCATGTGAACTTTGTACTGGAGGAGTAGGCCTAAACTTCCTCCCTCTAATAAGTCAAGAGAGGAAGAGGTAATTGTGTCCCAACAGGTTCATGGGTCTGGTGGGCCCAAGTTTTGATGGTTGGTCTCATGTTTCCTAGGGTTGTGTCCCAATGGGAACAGACAAGGAAGAACACTAGTTTTGTGTGGAGAGTCCCTATCTCTTGAAAGCTAAGGGAACTGTTTCTATTCCTGTCATTTTCCTACTGTTCAGCTTTATGTAGCTAGAGTATTAGTATTTTATCAGAGCAGTTAGTAAATTTGAACCATTTTCTTCTTCTAGCCTTTAAAGAAGCGAATAGCCATTTTCTGAATATTACTAATCTGAATATCAAGTCCCTATCAGGTGCCTTATTATGCTTGACTTATAGCTGACTAAGACCTAGGTTGGTTTCTTAACATAAGAAATTGATACCTTTTTGAGCATCTTGATGTGTCTTAATGTGTGCATGTCCTTATTGTTTATTAGTATAAGCTTTGGAACACTGAATGGAAATTATTGACTCAGGATGCACAGTACTGGAAGAAATTCAAGAAACAATGATACTTGAGGAGATGGGTAAAGCTAAGCTAAAGGGAATGAAAAAGTAATTACGCATTTGATATCTAACTGCTATAAAGTTATAAGATGCATAGTATTCTAACCTAGGAACCTACGGCAAGGGAAAAGAACAACCATGAATCTCAGGATATTAGTGACTGACTATACTTTGTAATTTGTCCTAGGCATATTATATTTATACTAAAAGTTGAAACTATAAAAACTCTATGCTACATGGAGATTGACCAGCTGGTATTCCCCTTGAACTTGAAGAATCTTTGAAAAATGATAATGTCTATGAGGAGAACTATCTTGTGTCTCTATTGTTTGACAATTTTCTATGTCATATTGTTGACTGCCCACTATTACTTCCATTTTATCTTTTAATTCCTGTTTTTAGTTGGTTTGTTTTGTTGTTGGAAGGGGGGATGGCTATAAGTTTCTACTATCAATGTATCTGAACATACACATACATGCAACTGATTTACTGTTATTCCTTGTCAAACAATCTATCGATCTTAACAATTTTTCTTATTTATTCTAACAAGATTGATTGGTATTGTATATGCATCTTTAGGAGGCTGACCTGAATATCAAAGCAGATATGGATGCTTTGGAGCAGGCCATTTTTTTGCATGTCAAATCACGTTCAACCTTTTTTCCCCCCTTCCTGCCTATAGAACTGTTGAACTTTGGCTCATATTCTAATTATTTATCCTTGCCTATTATTGTGGTATTGTCAGGGAAGAAATAGGGTATGATGGATGGAGGCTTGACTTTGTCAGGGGGTTTTGGGGTGGTTATGTAAAGGACTACATTGATGCAAGTGAACCTTACTTCGCTGTAGGAGAGTACTGGGATTCCCTCAGTTATACATATGGTGAAATGGATCCTAATCAAGATGCACACAGGCAGAGAATCGTTGACTGGATCAATGCTACCAATGGTACTGCTGGTGCCTTTGATGTTACGACAAAAGGGATTCTTCATTCTGTAAGCTCTTTTTTCTAATAGTTTTATAACATACTGGTGTTAGGTTGTCTAAGTATAAGTGGACTTGAGTCGATATAGGAAGTCTTAAATTAGATAAAGTTGTGCTTACTAACTAACATATAATAACGGGAAATAAATTATAAACTTGAGTTTTGAGATGTTGCATTAAGATATGACCCTCCCTCTCCTATTTGTTCTTTCCATTTTTAGATATCAAATAAAGTTGCACTTAATAACTAATGTATAATGAAAGGGAATGACTTATAAACTCAAGCCCTGAGATTTTGAGTTAAGACTTTGTCCCCCATTTTTGGGGTGGTCACTTCCTGTTCCTAACATCTCTGTCTCTTGGAATTTGTTGTCAACTTTGTAAGTAAAGACATTATACTCTGTTTCTAGGATTGTTGAACTATTCTAACTGCTTCAATGATGGTATATCTTTTGAAAGAATCCCATTCTCATCAGTGATAGGGCGCTTTTGAAAGTTGTTTGGAGAAGCTCCATATTGCTAGTTATGTGTTCCATCGAGTATAAATATTAACTCACTCATTTCATAAGGTTCTCTTGTTTGATATTTTCCCCTGTCATAAATCAGATTTCTTTTTAAAATTTCAGAAATATTTGCTACCGTACTGATGTAAACGACCTTAGCCTCTTATGTGATATATTTTCTAACCGAAACACATGGAACCTTATGTGTGGCTTCGTAAAAACTAGAGGAACTTTACTTGACCGTTTTGCTTTTTCCCTGTTGCAATTTTTCATCGGAAAATCTGACAGTATCTATCATATATTCTGATTCACATAGGCCTTGGGAAGATGTGAATATTGGCGATTATCAGATCAGAAGGGAAAACCCCCTGGTGTTGTTGGATGGTGGCCCTCGCGTGCTGTTACCTTTATAGAAAATCATGACACTGGTTCTACCCAGGTTTGAACTTTTTCCATTTAAAAATCCTGACACGAAGACATTTTTTACTGAAGGAATGTATAAATAATTCATCATTGACTCCAAGTAGGGAAGGAAGATTTTCAATTTTGAAGCCATCTTTTATCTGTCTCTCTTTTAATGTTGCTTCACCTATAATACTGTCGGAAATTTTCAAATTGAACAACCTGTCTTTCTTCAGATTGTCTTCTGGTGACGAAGATGTATTTATCTACATGTAGATTTGTCGTTATCTAATACTGCAATTATAAATTTTTGAAATCAATATAGAGTCTCTCCTTCCACTTCTTTTACAGGGATAGCCATTTTGCAATATTTTGACATGGTAAAAGTATCAACTGTCTTCTTCCTTATATTCTTTTGCCCTCATATTCTCTTGAAAAGGGTCATTGGAGATTTCCCAGTGGAAAAGAAATACAAGGATATGCTTACATTCTTACTCACCCAGGCACCCCAACGGTGTTCTTTGACCACATTTTCTCTCACTATCATAGTGAAATAGCAGCACTTGTATCCCTCAGGAAACGAAACAAGATCCACTGTAGGAGTACGGTAAGTATCATAATACTGCCTTGAATACTTAACATTAGCTTGTAAGTGGACATTCTCTGCTATGCATGATCAAGAAACTTAGCATGTCAAATCAATTCAAATTTTAGATTGTCAACTTAGAAGAAGAGAGTGTAAGTGATTATTTAAAAATATATATAATTCGTAGATGGTGATGTAATTGGACAACTAAGCAGTGCGCTTATGATGCACATCATGTTTTGGCTGTAGCTTTCTTTAGTGATGCCGCCGTGTCATTTTCAATTTTCTTTTGGGGTTTGATGTTACATGATTACATTTCTCTTCATTTTTTCCTCAAGTAAACTCAGAATATGCAACTGAGATGGAAATTCAGCTGCAGATTGACATAGTTGTATCGACAATATTGAAATGCAATGTCTTTCTTTTAATGCAAGGTTCGAATTTGTAAGGCAGACAGGGATGTGTATGCAGCCATCGTTGATGACAAAATTGCTATGAAGATTGGACCTGGCCATTTTGACCCACCTAATGGCTCTAAAAGATGGTCCTCAGCCATTGAGGGAAGAGACTATAAGATTTGGGAGGCATCATAAGTATTGGCCAAATCACATCAAATGTATCTTTTGATAGATTTTTCAAGTAAATTCAATGTACAAAATGATTCTTAGATCAAGTATAGATCAAGTCAAGGCATGTCAAAGGTGGACTCTTTGACATGTAAACATTTTTACCTGTCATCAACTCGATTTGCCTAATCTCCACTCTGCATGTAACATTGTCTAGCACAGGTTATTGTAATGGGATGGTTTGTAGTTGAGAAGTCATGCCATGCTATTGCAGAGAATGTGTAGACATGGAGCCATTAAAGAAGCATGATGAAGGTTGCATAGGATGGTGGCATTTAAACCAAATGCAGACTCATCAATGAGTTGTATCATACATAGTGTACTTATATTTCATAATTCATATGAACATGATTGAAGTGTATTCGTGGCATGAATGGTTACTATTTTTATTACAAGAGAACACAAAGTATAGGTGTATAAAAGCACTGTAAGAATTCTAGTTCTTACGATTTTTCACCTGTTTATATCTTTTCTTGAATGCTGGATGACGTGTGCTGGTTGGAGGGTTAGTCAGCTGAGTCAAATATCTTTTTCTATTATTATTAAATTCAGACAAATAAATAACTTGTGTCAATTTTTGGAGATAACGTCCTTGATGTGACGATGATATTTTTACGACAGCAAGAATGTTAACCAAAAGTCACTCTCTAGTGATCAAAACAAGTATTTATTTCACTAAAATTAGATTAAAATGTAGCAAAATCTGTTATATGTAAGTTAATGTATAGTTTAAAAAAACAAGAGATACTCATTCAAATTTAATAAAATGCAACGAAGAAATTTAATTTACTTTTATATCACTTTAAATTGATGATTGATGATTTATATGAACTTGAATCTTATTTATTAATTTTTTCCAACATTTGGATAGCAAGTTTCGTTCCCTCTTTTCTTGGCAAACCAAACCCAACGGCACCCATTTCCTTGCAGAATATATATGACATGAAAGGACATGCATATTTTCTATAAATAGAATAAAATCGGCCAAATTAGTTTCAAACTAATGAAGCACTCTTAATTATTAAAAAATAATAACAATGAAGTGTGCCGAGCTAGTTTGCCCAATAACTAGCCATTACCCGTCCTTTTAGCCTTATGGTTTTCCAAATTCGTTCAAAAATTAGATATTTACTGTTGATTCTAATTCTATGATACTCAAAAACCTTCCCCTTTAAATATGAAGCATTTCATTGTTTGATCTGAATTTGACTTCAAGAGTTGGACCATTATTCTAAATCTCAAACCAGTCTCAGCCAAAGGGGATATGGAAGAAGGAAACAAAAACAAGGTTTTACTTTCTTTGGTTTTCTTCTTGTGTTGGGTAATTATTATTCCTACCCTGCATGCAAATGTGTTAGAGAATGAGACCTATTGGGAAGGACATGCTAGAGTTTGATCAATATTGGCATGAAAAAGCAAACGAAGCTGAAAAGGCCAACCTTGAAGCTTATGACGCAAAACCTTTTGAAGTTGTAGGCAATATCAGCGCCACTACATAAGTTTAGGGTTAAAGAGTATTTTATTTTCCTTTGAATTATTTTGCGAGGAGAGTTAGTTCTCTTAAACTATTCATTGAAACAATGTTAGTCTTCAAATGATAAAATAATTTCAAAGCCGTCGCTTGACTAACAAATAAGTATTGACCATTAATTTTAAATTGACTTTTAATTGAAGAGTATTTTTACTAAAACATATTGCATCATAGTTAGGTTGTTACATGACTTGCAAACTAGATATTAATCAATCTAAAAAGTTTATCAATATGTACTAATGATTAACCGATAGTATTGTTGCATATTATTATATTATTATAATATGTTAGTAAAAAAAAAAGCTGGTCAATTCTATAGCTAACCAAGATAAATGTGTATGTCTTGTGACGATATTGTTAGTTGACAATTAGTGAGGGCTGACAAACATTCTTTGTTTTTTTTTTTCCTTCACTAATGAATCCTTAGATGAAAAGCCAAATAACTTCAATCTCTTCTTCATATTTTTTTTTTTAAACAAGACATGTGCATCATATTTTGACATTGATCGTTAGTGTAGGTGGAGAGATTTTTGTTTTTGTTTTCCTGGTTAACAAGGCTATATACATGCATACTTATAACTTGTGACAATATTAGTATTGTTAGTCCAAGACATTTTTCATCTTATGAACATCTACTTAGCAAAATATAGGACACTTTTAAACATAACTCCACATGTTTTGAGTGAAAAAAAAAAAAAAGACAAGGATACCAATTGTTTTACATTATTAAATTTTAGGATATCAGTTATTCTTTCACAAGTATTTTAGAGGAAAAATTATTTTTTAATCCAAAATCAATATGGAGTTAATGGTTAATGTTACCATTCATTAGTCTAAGAGGCAATATTATAATGATCTTGACACTCGAAGGCTAGTATGGTATTGTTTTTTTGAAAAATAGTTCATAATAACTAGTATTCTTTACAAAACAGTTCAAAGACAAACATGTCATTTAATTCAATAATCTATTTTATATATATATATATATATATTCGATGTTACAAATCATTTTAAAAAATTTTGTTTCATACATCTTTTTGTTAATAACTTCATGTAAATTTTGGCTTGGATTTTCCAGACTCCTTCTCCCTCTTTTGGAACTTTATTGACATCAAATTAGTCTTTTGCTTAACTCAACATAGTAGAAGGCAAAATTCCAACTTAATTTGTTGTAAAATTTTTGAAGGAATGAGAACTAAAGACGAAACAAGAATAACAAAGAGACAAAAAATGAAAATAGATTTTGAAATTACATTCAAAATAAAAAATTATAGTGCAAATTGGTAAGAGTTGAGTATAAAAATAAACACTTTTGAGAGAATAGTGTGAATGCTCAAATAAGATGCACTTCCCCAATTTTGATTATAGAGCAAATCTAATTATCTAATTGTTTAATAATATACGACTTTTTAATTTTATTTTCATTAAAGTTAATGTTCACGGTAAAATGCTTTCTTGAAAATTGAAATTGAAGGCATGTCAAAAATTTCGTGACTACTGACTAGAGAAATTGAAGAAGATAGCTCATTGGAAATAAAAAAATATATAAATATTACGTATATAAAACTATAAATTAATTAATAAAATTAGTTACACTTATACAGTATAACACTATCCTCGTCGACAAATTCCACCCTTGGGAGAGCTCGCCGTCCGACGCCGTCCACCGTTGTCAGCCCTGCGTTTTTGCTCTCCATCTATAATAGAGGAAGGTTCGAACCCTAGGGCTTTGTCTGCTACTACTCCAAGAATCCGGTGAAATTGATTTGTTCAATCTGGCTTTGAAACTAGATTTGAATTTGTTCCCGGCGTCATCTTTTCTCTACGTGGGTGTCAACCCTCTTTGGGACCAGTCTCTCCGTTTCTTGCTTCGTTTTGAATTTTTCATTATAAGTTGGTGGAGTAATTGTTGAATATCGACGCTTTTGAATGAAGATTGAATTTAATTTTTTTTTTGGAAAAAAAACTTTGATTACTAGTTTTTGCTTTAATGGTGTGTAATCGGCTATTATACTTCTGCCTTCTTCATTTTGATTACTAGCGACTTATATGCTTTGGATTGTTTTGTTGTGTAATGTGGATTTGTTGTTTATTGGCATTCTGTTTATTAATCTCTTTATATTATCATCAATTTAGAAAATTGCCGAGGTATTTTTGATGCATGATTTGGTAAATGACTTAGCTCAAGTTGTGTTTAGCAATTTAGAAGCTTGAGTTTAAATTGACATTCTTCAGTGGCTTGGAGGAGTTGCCTGAATCAGTTGGCTTGCCAAGGTATCTTCGTCAAAGTATCTGGCACAAAAAATAGAAGGGCGTGATATCAACGATGCATATTTCAAAGATTTCAGTGGCGGCAGATGCCTCCACTGAGTGTAATATATGCCCGTTTATCGGTTTGGGAAATTAGTTGATTCCAATCTAGCCTCATCCTCTGTTCATCCGTAATCAAATGAGGGTATTGTTGGTAGTGAAGAATTTTAATTTAGCTATTAATGCTTCCATCGCACAAGTTAAACGTAGAAGCAACTCTGGAGCTACATCTCTTAAAACATGGTTTTGTTTCGTTAAAAGTGGTTCTTGAATTTTTAAACTGCATTTCAGAGGCTTAAACGCTTTTTCAAATAAGGCCTTTGGGGACTAGAAGCTCTGGTTTTACTTCATCATTTTCATACAATGAGTGGATTAAATAGTGTGTGCCTGCTGACTTGTTTAGAAAACAAGTATTAGAATATTATAGGAAAGTGTGAAAATCAGCTAGAATATTAATACGACTCATTCTGTCATTCATATTCTTAATATTTTAAACATGATGTTGAATTTCAGGTTCTCACTGGTTTGCCCCTTTCTCTTTTCTGATTAGTTCAGGTCTTCAAGAAATCATTTATTAAAGTTCAATCTCACTCTATCATTGAGATCATCAGGGTCATTCCCTCAATATTCTTGCCAAAGCTCAACATTGTCTAGTAATGACTACAATTCAGACAGATAATCATGGAGAGCCTCAAAGATCTGATCTGAATTGCAAAGAAACTGCTAAGACTCATAATTCAGCACCTTCGTTTAAAAGATGGGGTAGAAAATATCCATTTGTCAGATATGGACTCCCAATGATCTCTCTTACTGTCCTTGGGGCTATTGGACTTGGTCATCTCTTGCAAGGCAGGTTAGTAAAATACTCCCCCCATGTTGCAAGTGATAGGTATCTATTACCCTACTAAGCTGCTATTTCTGCTAAAGATCTTGAGGTATTGTTTGGTTGGGGGGAGTTTGTTTAGGTGGAGGGGAGCCCCTCCCCTCCCCTCCCCTCCTTTGGTTAGGTAGTAAAATTTCCCCTCCCCTCCCCTCCAAAATTGGGGGGGAGCCCCCCTCCCCTTCCCCCTCCCTCCCCTCTCCTCCCCTCTCCTCCCCTTGAACCAAACAAAGCCTGAGTCGACCCCTATTATTTTTTCTTTTGCATGGGGCTATTTTTAGGAACAAAGCAAAGGGGTGGGGAAGGAAAAGTGGCATTCATGAAAAAAATTATAGGGTATTCATATCTTTTTGCCTTGATTGGATGCATTACAATTGGGAATAATTTCAATGAACTCAAATTCCAAAGTTTGATCCCCAAAAGTTTTTAATCGATGAATAAAAACTATTGTAACACTTCATTGAAGATAATTTTATGAATTAGAACACTATAAAATCATGCTTAAAACATTAACTTCAATTTATTCTCTTCTGGGAGTAATTTCTGCGAGTAAGTGGGAAAAATATCTTCATGATAATGTTTCTTTCGCCAGTAAATCTTGTTCTTCTCTTCATATTTTTTTGATTCCTCCCACAGTCTCCAAACTAACCCCTTTTTGGATGGAGAGAGAATATGGGAGGAAAGAAAACTGTGGGAAAAATATGGGGGACTTCTTCCCTGATTAGATGAGGAAGGAAAAGTGGAAGGGAGAAAAATAGGGGTTAAATGGAAGGTGGGACCCAACCACATTCCCCCCCCAATTTTCTCTCTACACTTGGAGAGATTTTGGGAAGGAATTTGTTATTCCCTGTCTGTCCTTGCTCTCTCTTGCTGCTTCTTTGTCTTCGTTTATGGACTTCGCACATTCTTCCTCTCCACTTAGGAAGTGCCATTGTCTTCTCACTGGACCTCCTCCTTCCTGCCTTCAACTCAGGCAGCACTAACCACCTCATCGTCCTCTGATTTTGTATTATGCTGCGCTCTAAAGCCTGAACAACCTAATCTGGCCCATTTTCCAATCCCAGCTTCATCATTTTGCTCTTAACTCCAGCTTCACCGATTCTTTTCACCCAGTCTGTCCTCAACTCCAGTCTAATCTGAACTCCAAGTCAGTTATCTTGCCAGTGCTCTGAACTCCACCACTGATTCCATTTTTTCTATATTTCCCTGTAGTTTCCTATTTTAAATTTGAATTTTAGACATGATTGTAAATGGGAATTGGCGTTTTTCCCAGTTCTTTCCTATTTTAAATTTGAAAAATATTGGATGCAATTTTAATTTTGTTTCTGAGTCCTTTTCTGTTAAACACTTCACTTGCCTAAAGGAAGAGCTAAGTTGAGTGAGATGCAAAGCCTTGAAAGAAATGGGAGACTTGGCTATCCTGTGTTGCAAATCATCCTTCTTAGATCAAACATTTATATCATAATCCAAATAGGCCAAACAAACAGTCAGAAATCTGTTTACCTCCATTGATCAAGGGGAAACTCGGCTAGATGTTATGGCAGTATAAGTATCAGCCCAAATATATTGTTTTATTTTTGTATAAAAAAAAAGTATCCATTTTGATTTTTTAAATAAAAAATAACACATCTTTTTGCTAAATTATTTGATTTTAAAATATGAGAACATGAAAATATATTTTTAGCAAATAATTTTACTTTAAAATATTCTGGTGATGTTAATTTTAATATTATTTTTGCCTTCAATTTATTTTTATCAAGGTAATTACATGAGATGTGATATATTCTAACATGAGGATATTATAGTCATTGTGACATTCTTTTTCTTTTTCTGTATTTTCTCCATTCCATCAAAACATGAGTGATAACATTTTCTTTTCAATTTTCCCTTCTCTCCATTTTCTCTCTTACTTTCTTTTCTCTAAACTTTTCTTTCCACTCAAATGGAGTAAGATCTAGAGGAAATGTGTTCTGTTGAGATTATTTCTTCTTGATTCCCTAGGCTCCCACTTGTGAACTTACCAATGCCAAATTGCCAATCAAATAATTGTATTTTATTCTTAAACGGTCTATAACTCTCTATTCTGATACATGGTACGTTGTGTACAGGTGACTAGGGGTTCAGTTATTACATTTGTGTAAAGGTTCGGAATTGTCTCATCTGTTGCAATGATATGTTATCAAGAATGCTTTTAGCTGAAAGCAAAGAGAATTCAAGAGTTATTTATTCGTTACATTTTTTCCTTGAAAGAAAACCAAGATAAAACTAATTCTTCTTTGACCCTATAATTTTGTTTGACTTAAATGGTTGTATTTTGGTGATTTTCAAGCTCATGCTGCCTGAAGTTTAGACTGAGCTTCAAGGAATTTGTTTTCAATCTTGCGCATTCCCATTGCTCTACGTTTAATTTAACATACAGTCACTTGGCTGCTTTGAGGTGAGTTGTATAGAATAGGGGAGGACAAAGTTTGACTTGGCTTGGCGTGTGATGAAACTTTTAGTGTAGAAGCATATAATTGGTCTAGTTGGCATCAGGATTCATGCGCTCAAATGCTGTATGCATTTTTTTTGGGGGGGCTTGATTTAGCTCTTACTAGGATTTGACCTTGATCCTTTGCAACAATTTCAGCACCAATTAATCAAAGCTGATTGTATTTAGGGCCTGTTTTTTTGAGATTAAAACAAGTGATTTGGTTAAACTTGACATGAAGGAGATGTTGGGAGAACATTAAGTTAATCATAAAAAAAGGGGGGGGAAATTCTATTTTGAGCTTATTTTGATTTGCTATTCTAAAGGCCAGTTTGTTTAAGATTGAAAAAAATGTGATTTTAGTTAAGTTTGACGTGAAGGAGTTGTTTGAGAGAGCATTCAGCTAATCATGAAGGTTTTGTTAGAAAAAATCTGTATAGCTTATCAAAATTAGCCGCAAAATGATTTTTTCCAACACATTCCTCTTGTTTAGCTTAAGATCGCCCTAACAACTTCCTTATGTCTACTTTAACTCAAATTACTTACCTTTGGTAGTTTAAACTCTGCCTATGTTTATAGCCGGTCCCAAGCTCGGGTAAAGGAGGAGGGTTGTGTTAGGCCATCAACAGCCAATGTAAAAATTTGTTGAATCTATCATGAACATGGACAATAGACGTTATAATGTTAATGCTAGGTCGTTGCCCGTAAGTAACGCGCTGCATGGCTCGAGTACAGTGATAAGTGAGTTAGAGCCGCTGCATCGGCGCCCGGATGTAGTGTTAAATGAGCAAGGGCTACCGCGTCATTCTGGACGCACGCGGCTAAAGAAGTTAGTCCATAAGAGCAAAATTAGATTTGGTACTTGGAATGTTGGGACATTAAATTGTAAATCTGTAGAGGTTGTAGGGGTTATGATTCAAAGGAAAATCAATATCCTTTGCTTGCAAGAAACAAAATGGCGTGGAGAAAGAGCTAAGGATATTCAAGGTTTCAAACTTTGGTATACAGGAAAAGTAAGTGCACGCAATGGAGTAGGCATCATTATAGATAAGGAGTGGAAGAAGAACGTTGTAGAAGTTAGCAGAATTGGAGACAGAATTATTTCTTTAAAAATGATAATTGGACGTGAGACTGTTAATATTGTTAGCGCTTATGCGCCGCAAGTCGGGACAGAAGCCAGTCTTAAGGAATTATTTTGGGAGGATCTGGAGGGGTTGATTCGACACATACCACAGAGTGAAAAGATTTTTATTGGAGGAGACTTTAATGCGCATGTCGGGAGGGAAGCTGGTCAGTATGCGAGGGTGCATGGTGGTTTTGGTTTTGGAGAGCTAAACAATGAAGGGCAAACTCTTCTTGATTTCTCATTGGCGTATGATTTTAAGATTGCCAACACTTGTTTCAAGAAGAGAGATGAGCATCTCATCACTTACAAAAGTGGAGCCTCAAGGTCGCAGATTGATTTTCTTTTGGTTAGGAACACAGATAGAAAACTTTGTAAAAATTGTAAGGTGATCCCTGGAGATGCTGTAACGACACAACATAGGGTCCTAGTCCTTGATGTGTGTATTATGAGTAAAATCCAAAAACGTCGACAAGTAGTAACACCAAGGATTAGGTGGTGGCAATTAAAAGGTGAGAAGCAAGATATTTTCAAGCAAAATCTTTTGGATAAAGGAATTTGGGATTCTCAGGGAAGTGCTAACATCATATGGGAGGATATGGCTAAAAAGATACGAGAGGTTGCAAAAGTAGTTTTGGGAGAATCGAAAGGTTCTGGTCCGAGAGATAAGGAGTCTTGGTGGTGGAATAATAGTGTACAGGACAAAATCAAGTATAAGAAGAACTGTTTTAAAGCCATACATTTGTGTAACAATGAGGAAAATTGGGAGAGGTACCGTATGGCTAAGAAGGAAACTAAGAGAGCTGTGGGTGAAGCTCGTTCCAAAGCTTTTGAAGAATTTTATAAGAACCTTGAGACGAAGGAAGGAGAGCAAAATATTTATAAGATTGCCAAGAGTAGGGAAAGAAAATCAAGAGATCTAGAACAGGTAAGGTGTATTAAGGATGAAGAGGGAAGAATTTTAGTTACAGATGATGAAATTAAAAATAGATGGGAGACTTATTTTTCTAAACTTTTCAATGATGGAGAGGATTCATCTAGTAACTTGGAGGATTTAGTAACTGGTGAAGGAGAACAAAATTTGTCATTCTATCGAAAAATACGTGATAAGGAGGTAAAGGAAGCTCTTAAGAAAATGGCAAATGGTAGAGCTAACGGACCTGATTGTATATCTATCGAAGCGTGGAAATGTTTAGGTGAAGAAGGGGTGAGATGGTTAACTAAGTTATTTAATGTGATTTTACGGTCCAAGAAAATGCCTGATGAGTGGAGGAGAAGTACATTAATTCCTATTTATAAAAATAAAGGAGATATTCAGAATTGTACTAACTATAGAGGGATTAAACTCATGAGCCACACAATGAAATTGTGGAAGAAAGTAATTGAGCACAGGTTGAGATTGGAGACAAGTATTTCTGAGAATCAATTTGGTTTTATGCCAGGTAGATCAACTACAGAGGCGATTTATCTACTAAGGGGATTAATGGAAAAGTATCGTTGTAAAGATAAAGATCTACACATGGTTTTTATTGATTTGGAAAAAACTTATGACCGTATACCAAGAGAAGTGCTTTGGAAAGCGTTGGAAAAAAAGGGAGTACGGATTGCTTATATTAAAGCCATACAAGATATGTATGAGGGGGTAAAAACTAGTATAAGAACGCCTAGTGGTCAAATAAAGGATTTTCCTATAAAGATTGGACTACATCAGGGATCATCTCTGAGTCCTTATTTGTTCAACTTGATTTTAAATGTTTTGACGGAACATATTCAAGAGGAAATCCCGAAATGTATGCTCTTTGCGGATGATATAGTTCTTATAGCAGAGACAAGAGAAGAGGTTAATTGCAAACTTGAGTTATGGAGGAGGACATTGGAGTCGAAAGGTTTTCGTCTGAGTAGAAGTAAGACGGAATATTTATATTGTAAATTTGGTAAAGGACTATTCGAAAATAATTTCGAAGTGAAATTGGGAGATCAAATTATACCTCAAGTGGAAAAGTTTAGATATTTGGGAGCCATTATTCAAAATGATGGCGAAATCAGTGGAGATATTTCACATAGAATTCAAGCTGGGTGGTTTAATTGGAGAAAAGCTAAAGGAGTTATTTGTGACCGTAGGGTGCCTAATAAACTTAAAGGAAAGTTTTATCGTACTGCTATCAGACCGGCAATGTTATATAGTAGTGAATGCTGGGCTCTAACGGGACAGCAAGAGCATAAAGTTGGAGTAGCAGAGATGAGAATGTTACGATGGATGTGCGGACATACACGTAAAGATAAAATTCGAAATGAGCACATACGTGAAAAAGTGAGGGTGGCACCTATTGAGGAAAAAATGGTAGAAAATCGGTTGAGATGGTTTGGGCATGTACAAAGAAAACCAAGGGAGGCACCAGTGAGAAGAGTGGAACATATAACTTTGAGTCCGATTAAGAGAGGTAGAGGAAGGCCTAAGAGAACACTCTTGGAAGTTGTTGAACGTGATCTCTTAATTAATAATATTTCTAAAAGCTTAATAAATGATAGAGCACAATGGCGTCTTGCAATCCATGTAGCCGACCCCACCTAGTGGGATAAAGGCTTGTTGTTGTTGTTGTTTGTGGTAGTTGAAAGTTCATCTTTTTTTTTTTTATAACTCTATTCTCCTTTTAAAATGTTATGGGATTGCGTCTTTTCAGCAAGGACATTGCAAAGGTGAAAGATGATCAAGAATGGGAAATAACTGAAACAAGAAAAGCACTGTCTAGAACTGGGCCAGTTGATGCGTATAAACCAAAAAAGATTTCATTGGAGGAGGAGTTACAGGTAGTCTTTTTCTCTTTCATTAGTAAATCCATGCATTATGAAAAATTAACTTGTATTCTTTCTGTCAAAGGCCTTACAAAAGAAGGTGGACATCAACAAATACGAGTACAAGAAAATTCCTAAACCAAATGAAGGCAAGCTAAAGTAGAATCGAGATGTTTAACTAAAATAACTCGTGTTGGAATATCGCCTGCAATAGGTGAGCTCCAATCCCCCACTTTGGAAGTTAGAGCCAATTCTTGCCCTGCTCGTGAAATTCTGCCTTGCATCTTTAGGGTTATTAGCATCTTTAACCTTGTAGAGGAGGAAGTTGAGATAAATAATGAATGATTTTGGGAGTTTATTTCCAAGAATTTTTGAGTTAAATGCAATGAATGGTAGAGGTTACATGCTTGGTGAGTATCTCATTCGTGTAAGAAGGTGAATGTCTTTTCTATTGGTTTGCCTATTTCATACGTTGTTGGTGGTGGTTAGGTCTGGAAACGAACCGTGTCAATTCAAACTTGTTCATTCAGATGGAGAAAATTCAAATTTGACCCCGTATGTTTATTCAATAAACAAAGATGATCATTCTTGATTTTTCTGATAAATGAGCCCAATGCAAAAAAAAAAAAAAAAAAACTCACGGGGCCAATTTACTATACGTATTGCATAAAACAAGCTTAGACAAATCAAACCAAGTGCAAAATTGTGAAATTTTATATTATGTATGTGTATGTATGAAGATATATAGAAAAAAACGCTTTAGTTACGGAGCGGAACTTAGTGAATTGATTTTTAGATTCGACTGGTCTTTGGGTGAGATTAATATATGGATGATGAAGATGTATGTTCACTTTAAGGTGTGAGCAGTCACATGTATAAATACAAGCTGATCTTGAATAGCTTAGACATATTTATTCTTCTAGTGTTCTGGCAATGTTAATGACAAGTATAGGCTCTCTGAGTCTTAACTATGAAGATGTTCTGATTAAGGATTAGCGTATTACGCTCATGGAGTAATTGGAGAATGTAGCATTGTTCAGGGGAATTATTACGTACAATGATGTTAGCAGATGCGGTGGAAATAGTTGCAATGATGATGGGAAAAAAGGAATTCGTTATTGCAGTTGTGAAAAAATTGTTAGAATTGGAATATGCCAAAGAAAAAAGTATTTATTTTTAGATTGGTGTAATATAAGAGAATATCAGACACAATATATAACTATTAACCATTGTGGTTTTTGTGCTGATCAAAAGATTAAGTTGTGATATTATCATTTATGTGACTAGAAGTGTGATTTGTGTGTTGGATAAATGTATCTTGTGTGTGTGTGTAGAGTGGATTTTATTATCAAGAAAATTGGGTTTTTTTTTTTTAAGCCAAGAAAAATTTTAGGTAAATTGGGTCTTGGGTTCTCATTAGAATAAGGGCATGTCATTAAATTTAAAGAACACTTATAAAAGTATTTATAAATTGTCTATTAATAAAATCTTCATAGCAAAAATGATATTTGATTTCATGATTTTATGAGTTATAAGCTAAGTTCTCATCAACTGAATTAATCTTTGTTGGTCTATTGAATGAAATGTTATCAAAAACAAATTGAGCAGTCACAATGATAAAAGTATTATTTATTTTATCAAGAAGAAAATATTTGTACATTCTTAATAAAACTTCAAAAAAAATTATAATTAACTTGAAAATAATGGTTTGCATGAACTTGAATCTCCTCCATATCAAGATCAGCAATTGGGTTAGCAAATTTGCTTGTTTTCCAAGCAAGCCAAAACACCCAACACCCCATGAGAAATTTTTAGGTAAATTTAATACACCACATCATTCATAATTTGTCCAATAAAAATGTGTCATATTAGCACTGATTTGATTAAATGAAAATATTATGTGATTATTTTTAATGACTTTATTTGTGTAATTTCTTTTCTTGCCTTTTCTCTTTTCATCATCATCATCAATGACATAACATTTATATTCAAAACCATACGATATAGCATATTTTTATTGGACAGATTATGAATAACATAGTGCATTGAGTTTGCTTAAGAATTTCTCACGCTGCATCGCCCTAAAGACTAGATGACATAGAAGAGGATGAATTGTTGCTATAAATAGAATGATATTAGTCCTCCAAGCTTCAAATTAAGGAACTTTTCTTAATTTTAAGGTAACTCTTATTTAATTAACCAAAGAACATATTATTTTTTGTTTAACTGTGATATCCCGCATGAATCCTCATATTCCGCATGAAATGGAGGCTTTGTTTAGCTATGGTTTAACGTAAAACTGGTCACTGTCTGTCCTTCTAGCCTTGTGTTTCTCAAACTTTGTCCGAAAATTAGATACTTACCGTTGATCCTAACGTCTTTTTTTTTTTTTTTTCCTGGCCAGAACTTGATCCTAATGTCATGCTCAAGAACTTCCCCCTTTAAATATAAAGCATTTCATTATTTGATGGGATAAGCTCGTGAATCAGTTCATTAATTGCCAAAAAGAGCGTTCCATAATGATTAGGCTTTGGCTAGGGTTGGCTTCAAGGCTTTGGGGTAGAGAATTGTTTGTAAACCTAAGGCCAATCTCAAGCTTCAGCCTTTTTATCAGGTCACCAGGATTTGCTTGTTAACTCGAGTTCTTGTCTTTTATTTCACGCTATCATGCCAATCTCATAATTTCAACGATGAGACATGAGGACGATACAAGTGTCAAGGGCCTATGAAGTGATCAACTGGTAATGCAGAGACAGTGGATAAAATAAAACGAGCAGGCTCCTTGAGCATAATTCTAAGTCAGATTTCTGAAAATGTGTATAGAAAAAGCATATTTTAAGAGATGACAATCATTTAAATAGTGTTCAGATTACTTGAATGATTGATTAGTCTTATGATGATTAACTGTAGAGATTATCTTGAGTAACCAAAAATAAATAAATAAAATGAGTGGGATGTTAAATGACGTTTAGCTTTCGTTCAGGCAAAAAATTGCGAGGCAAAAATTGTCGTTTGGCGGAGGAGAACGAGTGTTTGTTGAGTGATATAAACAGCTGCTTATTTTGTTTATCCAGTTCCATCGTCTAGGCAAGGTGCTTATCTCGAAAATTTGTTTGATCACAATATATAAACTATTGTGATTTTTATACTAAGTTGTGATATTTATTTAACAAGAAGTGAGAGCTGTGTGTTGGATAAATGTGTGTGGATAAAGTTGATTTTATTATCAAGAAAATTCTTTTGGGTGAAATATTTTTTGTTTTTTGTTTTTTTGTTTTTGCCAAGAGTTTATTTGAGTTAAGTTGTAAGGGCTCACTAGAACGTGTACAAAAATATTTACAGATCGATCACTAATAAGATTCTTACATCGATAATAAAATTTAATCTCATAACCATATAAGTTATGCACCAACCAGACTAACCTTTGTTAGCTTTTTTGTTGAAAAATTTTCACAATTAATTGAAGGGTTGTAATGATACAACCTTGGATAAAGCTCAAATGTCAATCCCTAAGCTCAAAATAATAGTGGTCTAGTCATAGTGCTAGGCCTAAAAATGTGCAGAAACAAGTTGTATGTGGATTCCCCTTATTAAAAGTGACATAATGTTTGCTAACAGGAGTTGGGTCTAACAAAATAAGCTAATCCCTCACAACATAATAAATCAAGGATCAAATTCTTGTTAGAAGAGATACTCACATTTAGCGTTTGATAATGCTTCAGACAAGACTAATGGAAGGATACCTATAACATCCTACATTTCGAGCATTAAAGTACAACATTAGGATGCTCGATTAGGGTAATTTATGTCATAAGAAAAATTGTAGGTAACTACATACTTCACAAGAATTGCCAGCACTTATTAAGGCAAGTGAGTATAGCTTATATATGAGCAGTGATCCAACTGAGTAGTATATTTGGAAAAAGTATCTTGACAATATTTTATAAAAGTAAGTGCTCAAATATGCATCAAACAAACTCATTTCCTCGAGAAATTATAATTGTTGATAGTTGGGTCAATTTTGGAAGGAAGTTTTTAAAGAAGGCAATGTGCGCCCCATGCTCTTTTCACATGCATGAAACCTCTTGTTTTGAGTTAAGAATCATGAAATTAGAATATCATCATTTGACATATAAAATGCAAGAGGAGATAGCTTTCAAAATGGTCACCATGCAAACACATGAATACAAAAGTGCCATCACCATTTCTCCACTTAAAGAGAAGTCTTCCTTTGTCCTGCTCATTTCTTCATTTTGTCCACCATCTTGTGAGAGAGAGAGGAAGAGAAATATGCAGTTTAAAGCAAGAATCAAAGGTAATCAAGTCTTTCCTTAGGTTTTCCATCATTCTCTCCTAGAATCTTGCATTGAATCTAAGATATAGTGACTTGACCTCCCTCTCCTTGGCCGAAAATTCTAACTATTTAGGAGAAGAAATGCTTGAATTTTGGTTGATTTTTGCCTTGCATGTTGACGATCACAGTAGAAAGCTTCAAGATAAGAGTTTCATGTTTGATTAGAATTGTGATTTTGTCAACAAAGTCCATCTTCAGTGCTCATCACACTGATGAGCGTGACAATAGTGCTCATCATGTGCTCATCAATGTGAAGAGCACTAAAGATGGACCCCAAACTTTAAGCTAATTTCTAGACTTGATTAAAATTTCGGGAACTTGAGAAATATTGTTTAATGTTGCTTCACGTTTAAATAAAATGCTGAAAATGTTTAGCAACATGTTCTAGATTCAAAACTAAAGATAATCTGAGCTACAAGTACAAGTTCATCATTGTTCAGTTTTGAGCCAGGTTGATTGTGTGATAGTTTCTAACTTGTATACTTTGATTCTAGCTATGAAATTTGGACCAGTTATAGAGGATAGGATGAGCTTTAAAATGAGTCCTATTTTGTCATGAAAAAAGAAGTATAAAAAATGTTGTGATTTTTCTAATTTGAGATTAGAAATTTGGAAATTATTAGAAGTGATTTTAGCTAAAATGAACTTTGCTTATGATTTTGGAAGTATGAGTTCACATAGTTATCAATATGATATTTTTATCTTCCAATTACATTTAAGATGAACAAATGGACACTAGAATCATGATCAAAGGAGATTTATAGAATTAGTTATGACTTTTAAAGTTTGGGTTTGAAATCTAGAAATAGCTATGTTTCAATATCAAATAGTGAGATTCTCAAAGTTATAAGTTATTTTTGAGGTAGTGGTTCTTCTGGAAATAATTTTCTCTTTAAATAGGACATTCCAAAGTTTATTTAAAGATCCAGAACAAGCCCAAATGATTTTTCTTGAACTAGATATGATTTTTTAAAATTAATATATAATTCTAGAAAATAAATTAATTAAGCCGAAACTTGAGAATTCCCCAATAGGCTATGTGTTTCATGATTTGGGCCTAGACTATACTTGGGCTATTAAGGTACTTGTTTTTAAATGACCCATTTTGTTTTTTAAATATATATATATACATACCAAAAACCAAAAAAGAAGGAGTCACAAAGAGTCAGGCGACTCCAGGAAAATATTATTAAATGAAAAGTAAATATGAGAAATTCTCAACACACATCGTAGTAAATAAACATACATTTTAATAGAGTAATAAAAATTTACAACTCACTTATAACATATTCTTAATTAATTTTTTAAAAGTTACTACTATATTAGATCGTAAAAAAAATTTATATACTTAATCTTATATATTTAAAATTTTTGTTTTCAATTAAATTAAAATATATAGACCTTTTATAAATTAATTTTTCTATAATAAACTTTTATTATTAATATTATTAATATATTAAAATTCACTTGTCTTGATTGAATTAGATAAAAATATATTAAATATAAAAAATTAAGTATTCAAATACTACGAATGTCATAAATGGTTTGGATATCACACACATACAATAAAAAATGCCTTGCATGTCAAGAGTATTGAATGGCCCAATGGGTGAAGTTCTGGCCCAATGGCTTGGATATTTGCATCATACATACATGCATATATAGTAGAGAATGAAATTTAAGTACAATGGCTACGTCAAAGTTATTCTCTGCTATTTGCGCACCCTTCTTCTAGGGAGGAAGATGATCAAGTTTCACGTCGTTTAAAGAAAGTTAAAAATGGAACAGGGTTGATTGATGGTGGCATCTTATTTGGCCCTTGGCCAGCTCTCGGCTCCAAACAAGATGATATCAGCAAAACGAAATTACCTTTTGCTCATAAGTTGAAAGGTGTTGCACGGGAAGGGGATGAGGAAGAGGATGATATTTAAAGCACTGATGAAGGTGCTTATGAGGATGATATGATGGCTAATTCCTAGAATATGGGTGACTAGAGTAAGGAGCCAAATTTCCAAACTATAAAGAACCAATCAAGGCCAAACTTTCCAACCTTTGTATTCTCAGACAAGGCTAAGAAAAGACTATACAAGGCTCAGAAGCATGTGATCATCGTGAAGCTTTTGGATTAGACACATTGGTTTCAAAGCTCTTAAGTCATGCCTTCAATCTTTTTGGGTAAAGAAGGGAGTTATAAGATCAATTGATATTGGTCTTGGGTACTATGTGGTAAACTTTCCTAACAAAGAGGATTATTTTTTGGCTTTAACTCGAGGGCCTTGGATGATATGCGACCATTATTTGATCGTGAGACCATGGGAACCAAGGTTTAAAGCTTAGAATGCAACCATTAATAAGGTAGCTATCTAGATTAGATTGCCGAAGGTTTTCTTAGAGTACTATGGCTCTTACAATGATTGGGAATAGAATTGGAACAACAGTGAAGGTAGATATCAACACATCATGCCAGCTAAGAGCTCATTACACACAAATCTGTGTTCTTCTGGATTTAGGAAAACAATTAATGTCTGGCTTCTCCCTTGATGGTGAGGATTATTATCTATAGTATGAAGGCCTTCATTTGTTATGCTCTAATTGTGGTATATATACTCATCATGCTAATAAGTGTCCTGCTATCAACCCTTCTTACTTGCATAAAAAGTAAAGGAGAGCATGGTTGATCTATGGGGTCACAAGAGTACTAGTAGGGATGGAGCTAGGCCTTCCAAAGTGGTGAAGTACCAACGGACTATGGTGCAAAAACCAAAAAGGCAATGAAAGTCCCTAGAGAAGAAAGCTAGAATGGTGAAACAAAATGGCTCACGATTCAATGTCCTTACTGTAGTAGAGGGAGAGGAGAGAGAAGAATATCAGGTTGTAGGCTGTGAGGGGATGGGGCTTGACTTGCAGAGGGATATTATTATACAAGCACGTCATCACGTACAATAGACGAAGACAAAGAAATGTGAGTAGCAATCCAAAGAAAGTTATGAGTGAGGATGCACAACAACAGGAGACAAGAAAAGACGATGATACAAAAGATGAGAGTAGAAAAGAGGAAGCGGGAAATGATAAGGGGCACAACAAGACAAAGAGACGTGCTTATGCTAATAATAGGAGACAGTTATGATTATGTTGTGGAGGTTATCCGCATAGGGACCACATTAACATCATTCATGATATGGTGGTGATTTCTAACTTTTAGGATAACCCAAGGGATAAGTTAATGGAGGAAGTGGACCCAGGGGGTTTAATTTTTGGGCCTAGTTTGGAGAGCCCAAATCAAGTAGAAGATCACAAGAGTATGGACTCATATGAGTCATGTGTTCCTGAAACCCAATTTTAACAAGTTTTAGTTTGTTTACCTTAGGTTCTTTATTTATGGATTGTTTGTCTATGAATAAATTACTTTTTTGGAAGTGTAGGGGGCCCGTGGTAAGGGGCTCATCCAAAATCTTAGATTGTTGAATAGTGGGTCTATACCTACTTTTTTTATTCCTCTGTGAAACTCGATACAGCAATCCTTCTCATCTACAAAATATTAAGGTTTTGGGTTTTGATAGCTTTAAGGGTGTGTCCAGTAGTAGACTCTCAAGAGGATTACTGGTAGCTTGAAAAAGCAACGAGGTTGATATCACTATTCTTGAGGAAAATTGGTAGTATGTTCATCTCAGTTACTGTGCTTCAGGTTCTCACAAATGTAAGTGACAATAGTTTATGCGAGAGGAACTTTGGCATAGATTGAGACTTATGTCAGCGACAATCAACATTCTTTAAGTGGTTTGTGGTGACTTTAATGATATGGTCTCTACGGATGAAAGGGTTGGTGGTGGTAGGGGTAGCTTGGCTAAACTCAGATAGTTTAAGGACCAAGTTAAAGGTTGTGGCTTAACAGATCTAGGGTCAATGAGGCCAAAGTTTACATGGAGAGGACCTCTAATTAGTGGGTATCGATGTTTATATGAGCATCTCGATTGAGCCTTGGTGAACAATAATTTTCTCTCGATGTTTCAGATTGTAACTTGAAAGTGTTGACTCGTACAAAGTTCTCAGATCACAATCCCCTATTGTTGATTCCTTCTAAGGGTAATGGTATGCATTCTGGTTCCAAGCCTTTTTGTTTTGAGGCAATGTGGTTAATGCATGAATTTTTTAGTTTTTTTAAAAAATCAATTGGCCTTCGTCTAGTACTTTGGATCAATCTCTAGAGAATTTTAAATATGTGGTCTCTGATTGGAACAAGGAAGTCTTTGGCTTTGTGGAACAAAAGAAAAGGAATATTCAGGCAAGGTTAAACGGTATTCAATGTTCAAAAGCATTTCCTTGCTCTAAATTTCTTCAAGATTTGGAACTTAACTTTCAGTTGGAGTTGGAAGAGATATGTAGTTTTGAAGAAGCTAAATGGTTTCAAAAATCCAAAGCAGAATGGATAATTCAAGGTAATAGGAATACAAGATACTATCATTTAAAAACTTCAATGCGAAGATGAATAAATCATATAGAAAGTTTATGGAATGGAGAAGGAGAATGGATAAAATAGGAAGAAGAGTTACAAAAAATGGCATTAGAGCTTTTAAAAAAGCTTTACGAAGATGGGAATGAGGTTAGTAGTTTTTTAACCATTAAGACTAATTTTCTTGAGGTTAGTTTAACTATCATTAGTGATCTTGCAAGGATACCTTCTATTAAGGAAATTCGCTCTGCTCTCTTCACTATTGGTCCTTATAAGGCTCCCGGAGTAGATGGATTTTGTCCAATTTTTTTCAAGCAAACTAGGATATTTTAAGGCCCTCTTTATGTGAATTTGTGCAAGATGTTTTTAAAGGATCAGTTGCTTTTAATGTAGCAAATAGAACTTTAATTTCCCTTATTTCGAAAAGAGAGCACCCAGAAGTAGTGAGTCACTTTCGTCTTATTTCACTTTGCTCTGTGCACTATAAGTGTATAGTGAAAGTAATTAGCAAGCAAATGAAAAGTTTAATAGATGCAATGATCTCTCTGTTTCAAGAAAGTTTCATACCAGGGAGGCAAATCGATGATAATATTATAATTGGTCAAGAAATCATGCATTCAATGAACAAGGCTAGAATGAGAAAAGGTTTTATGGCTTTAAAAATTAATCTTGAAAAGGCCTATAA